CTCCCAACTGAATCATAGGCTTACTTGAAGTCTATGAATAGCTGATGTACTGTCTCATCCTACTCCCATTTTTCTCAAATAGCTGACGAATGCAAAAGATCTGATCTGTAGTTGATCTGTTACATCTAAACCCACACCGATGATCCCCAATAATTTCATCTATATACGGACTTAACATTGAAAGAAGAATATTGTACAAAATTTTGTATCAAGTTGATAGCCTCTTGCTTGAACAAGTTCTGCCGGAATTTGATCACTACCTGGCGATTTATACCGTTTCAATTTTGCAATAGCAGTAGTAAACTCGAAAGGGCTAGGATCCGGTATTATTGGCTCAGCTGTATGGATTTCTGTCTGCTTAACAGCACTGATCCTATGTACATTCAATAACTGGGAGAAGTAGTTCCTCCACCTATTCACAATGTTGTGGGAATCTGCAAGCAGATCACCATTCTGATCCTTCACTAAGTTACTGCTAGGTTGGTAACCCCTCTTAAAGTCATTTATTCCTCCATACATGTCTCTAATATTCTTGTTCTTACTGTTCATTGCAAGCTCATCAATTTTGTCTTTCAGATATTCCCTCTTTTTTTTCCTGAAATGCCTGCTGATTTCACGTCTTATGTTGTTCAGATTATCCCCATTCAACTCGCATGGATCCTGTAACCACTGCAATTTGGCTTGCTTTCTTTGATCTAATAATTTTGAGCATCCTTCATCGAAGCATGGCTTATTCTTCTTCGGTTCATAATAACCTAGACTCTCTTTGGCAGACATTTTTATATTCTCTCTAATAGTTTCCCAAGTTTTATTAACATCTACCTCTATGCCCAAGTTTTCCAAAGCCGCGAATCTATTTGAGATTTCAACACGATACTGCTTTTTACACTCTATCTCATTTAATTTCTTGAGATTGAACCTCTCCATATGAACTCTCTGTGTTGTTTGTTTGCTCACTGCCAGTCTTTCCCTAACCTTTGCCACCACGAGGTAGTGGTCAGTATCACAATCTGCTGCCCTGAATGATCGGACATCAAGTATACTTGAGTGCTGTCTCCTATCTATCAAAATATTGTCTATATGATTGTGTATCTTCCCATCAGGAGATATCCAAGTAAATTTATGGATGTTACGATGTGGGAACATTGTACTTTTGACAGTAAGATTTTTTGATGTGGCAAAGTTTACTACTCTAACTCCATTATCATCACTAATTTCATGCAAACTCTCATTCCCAACTGTTGGTTTGAAAATGTCTTCCCTCCCTACTTTGGCATTGAAATCTCCTAACAAAATATTCATAGGGTACTTCGGGAATTTATCAAATACATGTTCTAGTTCTTCATAGACTCTATCCTTTATGTCATCAATTTTATCTTCTGTTGTGGCGTGAACATTCAAAACAATAATATCACACCAGCGACCTTTTAGTATTATATAGGATATCCTATCACTAACGAACTCTACCCTCTTTAACTGTTGATATGATTCTCTTATGTACGAAAAAACCTGTACCTAATTCATGATTTTCATTCCCCTTTCCATAGAAAATTGTATATTCGCCTGCTGGTGGGATGCCACCTCCGTCCCTTCCGACCTCCTGTACTCCCGCTAAATCTAACTTATATTTTGAGATTTCTTCTGCCACTGCCCTGAGCGAACCTGCCCTATACATACTTCTAACATTCCAAATGCCAAATCTCATACGATATATGATATTGCCAAATCTCATATCCATTTTCATTAGCTTAGGTCATTTATCCAAGTATATGCGATAAGTGGACACAAGTTAGAATGACGATTTTCACGTTAAAGATTTGTGTTGTTACTTCGTAATTTGCGTGATAGTGCGTGAAATGCACTTAGAAACATGCGTACTTCTCGTTACTAGAATCTTCCGTTTGCGCGACGTGTTGAGTTCCTGTTTTCTTATAAAGAAGACGTTAATATTTCGCATAAGACTAAAACGCATCCTACTTACAATATTATATTTAAGCATGCTGTTACACTCACACAATATATGAGACAAACTCCGTCTTAAGTGCAACAATTTAATTATAGTTCTTCCTTCTTTCCTTCCTCCACACTACATNATCCTACTTGTTGTGCAAGTATATAGAAGTGCTAGAAAGTATGAGAATTCTAATTGGCGACTGCGGTATAATTTTGAACCGATGAGAAATTTCGCGGACCCAGAGAACGCAAATAATTTTTTCTCCGCAAAACAGTTCCAGACCGGCTGCATAATGTCATTGTTAATATTGTCAAGGCCGCACCATAGCTCAAGCGGTTAGTCGTTGCCTTCGCACCTCGGCGGCTCGGGTTCGATCCCGGGTCTGGTCAAGTGGGATTTGTGGTGGACAAAGTGGTGCTGGGGCAGGTTTTCTCCGAGTACTTCGGTTTCCCCTGCCAATCTTCATTCCACCAATTGCTCCACAATCACCCTCACCTATCATCTGGGGCTGGTACAATAGGCCAGAAGTGGCCGCAGTACAAGGGACATAGTCCCACCCCACTGGCAATAAAAATAGTATTGTCAATATCTTATACGTGAGACATCTTGGAAAAACTGAGATCTTCTCATTACAGCACAAATCCAGACTCAAATTAACTGACGAGGACAATATATGTAGATTGGCAGAAAGGCTGTCTGCTAACGTTCGTGTTGGAAGAGCACATGTTCTGGCGTCTGTAAGGCTCAACATTTCCACAGAATGCTTAGGGAGGGGGGTAGTATGAAGAAGAGAAAAATGTGACTTCGAGAGTATTTTCCGTTTGCACGTTAGTCACTTACGCATAAGAATCATCCATTACTCAAATTGTGTCGTTTGATAATTTGACATTTTGTTTTTTTTTTTTTAACAACTCCTCCTTCAGTCCTAATTGTGTTAGGGAAATAATGAGAAAATAATAAGTGAAATTCCGATGAAGTATTGACCTGTTGGAAGAGTTCTGTCTTCTGGGATGTAGCGCCAAGCAGCCCGTCGGAAATCAAGCGCGGATTCTTCCTTCCTATGTGAAGTTCGACTCATTCTTTGAACCTGAAGATGGAGTTGAATTTCAACGGATTACATTATATTTCATCCCAGAAGACAGAACACTTCTTAAAAGCGCTGTCAGAACTTTAAATCCTTCATCACCCTCGTCTCTTTGAAATAAACTATTGGGCGACTAGAGAACGACAGCTGCTTGTTATTTATAAGAACGCTGTTCTCTCAAGGATCACGAATAAAAATTATTCTCACACACATACACACACTCAGAAACACACTCACAATGGCACAATCATACCCAAATATATATTCAAAAACAGTCTTACAAATACACATACACATGCACAAACACACTCACACACACATACACATCCACAAGAACACTCACATACGCATGCACAAACACACAAATAATCATACACATGCACAAACACACACATTTTTTATATACATATTGCTGCATACACTGCCCATGTGTCCCCTTTTGAACGTTCGAAACAGCTTCTCAGTGTTCAAGAAATTTTGTATGATATTGGGCTCATAAATCGTCTGTTTACAACCACGCATTTCATTTGGTTTTATTGCAGGACCTTGTAATGTTTAGGAAGATGCCTCTAGAATGTACTTTCGCGGATGTGTATAGAGACACACAAACTCATGCCTATGTAAAATAACCAAAATATATTACAATGTAGCATCTACGAATTTGCAAGAATCAAAGAGTCTCGAATAGAAGTAAGTGTGGAAGCAAAAGCAGTCCTGTCATTTATACTGGAAGTGGGAAACACGAAGTGTGTTAACGTGTGATCCAATTCTGTGGTCTTGTTGACACTACCCTAATTATACTAATCGTAGAGATTTATTTGTGAAAGCCAAATGTAATATCGTATCTTAGAACGCTTTTATGAGTGATATTGATTTAAAAAAAAAAAAAACATAAATTTGTAACCGTGTTCGAGGCAAATATTATCGTTAGGTTCTGGGTCTCGTTTATACAAATAAAATTCAAAATTGATTGAGATGGGAGTATCCGACAACACGCGGGTACAATTTGAGTTTGTTTACAACACCCATTAACATGTCAATACCCACCTTACTAATGCAAATTTTAAACAAAATCTTCGAGTCGAATTTAAATTGAATTTCATCATACAGCATTCAGCGTGGGTTCACGCCGAATGCCATACACATCTTCACTATCTGCAGCACTTTCATATGGACAAATAAGAAATAATTCATGGGAACAATTAAAATCATATTAATACTGATGCTGCAACTGTTGAAGGACCATTACTAAATTATATTTAATAAAATAATTTTCTAAAACACGTGAAATGGACCATAAATTATACGAATATAAATTTGAGCAATGCCCCCGAAATACATTTTATAGGTACTGTGTTTCGCTGACTCTGTCTTCTTCCTCATGAGTTGGATGCCGTTCTAATGTGCCCAGCTGAGCAGAATTACTTACGTCTTGCTTCTGGTATCGTAAAGAGTTGAAAAATGGTATGTCCCACAGTAAAAAATTTGTGAGATCGAACTCCGTGTACGATATATTCCGAATGAGAAATAATTGTTTTAGTCCACTATAAAGTTCTCGGAACGAAGCTCAATACTTCTGTCGCTCTCTCTCTTCGAATAACCTCCGAGCCCTGCTAACTTACGGTACTAGATGATTTTATAACCCACTGTAATCCTAGGGACATATTCACACATCAAGACGATGCAGTAACAAGGGCATAAGAAAACTACTGAATTTCAAGTAAAGTACTGCCAGTGATTTCAAATAAACACTGCGAAGACTGCAGCACGCGGCACCCCTGATGATGGTCACTCGTTACTTACTGCCTCTGCGGTGTTTGAGAACCTTACCCTCCTCTAAGAGAGAGGCCCATTCCTACGCTGTTCATTAACCCCATATTCCCGTTTAATTATTAGCATACAGATACATGAAGACCAGGCCTATGTTCTACTGCTGCATAAGAACTAAGTGAGTTACCTTACCTCTGTCTGATGTGTACCGTATGCCGTTACTGCAATGACTGGCAGCGAATACTGGTCCCATCGAATAGTGGCGGTGCCGGACCTGTGGTGATGCAAACGAATTTCCCTTAAATGCAGGGAAATTCTTGTCTTCAGTGAATTATTAACATCTGAGTCAGGAATGTTCCTTGTGTTCTAGTTCTTGCTTCTAGTTTTAGGATGCTTTTCTTATTAAAAAAATGAAAGCAAGTTTATGCGACCTCCATGCTGTCTGTGTATCTTTGCTCATCAAGTTTTATGGCTGATACAATCGACACGAATCTTCCATGAATATTACGAATACACATATCAGCAGTAGAATCGCTGGACGCGACGTTTTCTACGTAGCCCTTGTCGTGTAAAGGAGAGCAGGCGATTACTCCCCCCCCCCTCTTGGCACTACAGCCCCAGTGGGCCTAGGCCTACCTCCATGAACTTCTCCGTTTCGGTTTTTCTAGATCTTACACATTCAGTAGGACTCCTTGGGCGCGTGATCAGCTCGTCGCAAGGCCTCTACCTGTACACAAATACACAAAAACGCACACACACAAACTAAACATCCATGCCCTGAGTGGGATTCGAACCCATGATCCCGGTATTCAAGCGAGCGAAGACAGTACATGCCTTAGACCGCTCGGCTACCGTGACCGGCAGGTGACTACTTCATCCCAGAAATACATGTTTTCTCTAAGGCGCTTCCAGTATAGAGACTATAGCTGTTTTGTCGTGCATTGTTTAACGACGAATTCAGCATCAGGTTTATAGCTCGTTTTTCGTGATTTATTAAACAGCGGTTTTAATATTAAGACGAAAGCTGTTTTGACGTGGATTATATAATGGCGTTTACAGTATCAAGATTAAAACTGTTTTGTCTTGGGGTCTTCATCGATATTTTCAGGTTCGTAACTATATCCGTTATATAATAGGGTGCTTCTGTTTTGTGTGTCTGATTCCGAAATTAACGGCCTTGGGGATTCGTTGCTCTGACCACGCGACACTCTCTATCAGCTAAAGTTGGCACTAACTTCCCCGACAAGCGGCGGTCGCTCGATCGGTATAGTTCGCTTGCGGACTGAAACCACGGAGTTTGTTTATTTTTTTGTGACTGATTCTACTGGATGACAACTCAGGCGGCACAGAGAGTGACTAAAGAAGTAGACAATTGTAACGTCCAGATGCCGTTCTGGAGAGACAAGCAGTCCTGTCTCCATACATATGGCTAAATATATATATATATAGGCTGTAAGTAATTATTATTAGGTGCAGAAGATGGAAGTAACGAATTTTTTTTAATCGGTGTTCTGCAGTGACAACATATGCCGAAATATTCCTCTACGTATCGGCACCAACCACTGAATATATTTTATTTTCGCTTTATGTTTTACAATACTGTCAACATGGAGACTGTAGCGTGGGCGACAGGATGACGAGTGTATAGCTGTGTTTCTACTGATTTTCATGTTCCCAAGATCACGTCTTTTTGATGATATTGACACTTAACAATTTCACCTTCTCAGAATTCTGTAGGCTGTAAGCCGGAATCTGTTAAGATGGAGCTCCCTTTCAGAATCAAATTATATACATAAAATTTTGAATTTTATTGCTCCAAAAGGTAATGAAATTATGGAATCCTGGAACAAATTAGGAGACATGAGATTAAGTTTGGTGGGTATTGGGAAAAGGCCTGGGCTATCTAACCCTACGAAATTTCATGACGATATTATGAAGGTTGCCATAAGCTGTGAAGAAAATACATTTCGAAATTGACACCCTTAAAAATGAGCTTGCTCTGGACCTGAGACAGAATGTATTGTAAACAGGCCAGGAGCATGCTGAACTCCCTGCTACTGACTTCTGAAGCAACTGAAGAGAAAGGCTGCCCCGGTTGTCGGCAATTCACCTTAAGCATCTCGCACACCTGAGCGGAGAACAACGAGAAAATTTGTTGTTCGAAAAATAGAAATTTCACTTCTCTCTGAACTCGGCGGTCCGCTGTGTCATACCAGTGTTATTGTGTTTTATATCGTTAGACGTTTTAAGCTAAAATGTGCTGTCTCAATGACATGTCTAAGTCATAAGAAATGTATAAATCTTGAAGTACCAGAAACATAAGAGCCCAGTCACTTAAATAGTTTTATCTAATTAAAATGTTAAAGCAATACAAAGTCAAGTAAATATATAACATAATTAACTGTCCTTGATTCTCCACCCGTTAGGATTAAGTGCAAGAATTGAGTTGTCAGACGATAACAAGAATATCATACTTTACTAAGTTTTGTGTTCTTGTTGGAGTAAAATTTTGTTATTAGGTTCTGTATCTTGTTTACATGAATTTAATTCTAAATTTGGCAGAGATTTCGTGGCGGGAAGAATGCGGTACATTTTAAGGTTAATTCAGTCATTTGGTAATTCATACATACCGAAGTCACTAACACAATTTCAAACATTATTTATCCATTCTGTATTTCAGCATCCTGCGGCAATTGTCAGTCAATATTGCAACACTTGTTTATTCACTAATTTTAATTTTAGTTTAACATTATACACTTTGACACTACATGTGACACTACATTTGTCTTTATGTGTTAAAACATATCAAGACACCTGAAGATGGCCGTTTGAGGCCGAAACATGCAGTGTCAAAGTGTATAATGTTAAACGAAAATTAAAATTATTGAATAAACAATTTGTTACAATATTGACGGACGATAAATACATGGGCGTTATTTATCCAATTTTATTTTAAAATTAAATTAATCTCTCACCGGGGAGAAGAGCAGTGAATTTTGGTTCATGCTGTTCGTGACTAATGCTGTAAGTTTTGTCCCATTCTTATGTTTAAAAGGGTGGTATGACTGCAAACGTTAAAAAAATCATGGAAACAAAAGAAAATCACGTTACTGTAGTCGCCGCAGTTGTGGAAGAAATAGTACTGAAAATATCAAGCAATTCACCAATGATATTTGAAAACGTTCATACTATGGCGTATAAACCCATTTCTGGGCAGAGACCTCGAAAATGAAGAGTACAGTCGTTGCAATGCAATAGGCGGATAATCAAACGGCCGTTCCCTAGCAACGGTATATAACCGTGGTGATTCTTCAGCTTCCGGCACTCACGCCGTTAGTGTCCGGCGAATATCGCGTAACTCTTCTCTTGTCAACTGTCAAATGAACTGTAGCTGCATCTGTTCTCAGCCTTTTTCGCAGAGCACGTCTCAACTGTCAGCTCTCAACTGACCTCACTCACTCACCAACCAGCTACTTCACTTCTCTTCATTTCACTCAACTGAACTGCCAGCGTGGGGTCCTGGCTATATAGTCTCGGGGCGGACACAACAGAAAACGCCGCCTCCAACAGACGTTCTATTAGTAGTGTTGTTATGGGCGGTTGCCTAGCGATATTTTGGATGTCGCTTCCTCGGGAACGTGTTCACCGAATCGTTGCCCAGAAAAAACTGTTTGTTTATCCGCCTCCGTTTGGCGGTCTCTGCCCAGCAACGGTTCTATACGCCACAATATATTAATGGAATATTATGAAGGAGGCTGCCAAGTATCTAAGGTTTATTTGATTTGGAGGCAAGTAACTGACTGTGCACTTACCTTAATAAGTTGGGGCCCTTTTTAAGGCGCCAAATTGAGCAGTTTGTTTCCGCCTTGAATCTGGTGTTACAAACAGTACATTTTGAAAAATATTGATTCCGAGAATAGAAAATTTCCAACATAATATAGTTACTTCTATGGTGGTACGCGCGACGAAAATGACGGGTTCTAGTTCGAATGACTGGATTTATTGTCACTTTGGTTGAGACCTCTCTTACTCATACTTGGATACAGGAAATACAGAGCTGTCGCTGATTTACACAACCTCCATTTCGCACCTGAACACGCACTAGGATTCCCAGTCTTCACTAGTCGTCTCCTGGCAACGAATTTCAACACAGAAAATTTAAGTCTCACTGTATCACACACTCCCAGTATTACACACAAATAGTGTCTTCAAATCACATTTTGAATCCTCAGAAGCCAACCTCTTGTATTCTTCTGTACTCCTGGCTTCAATTCGCTCCTCCAGCTTACGACTGAATTTACTATGTCAAAGCCAAAGTCAAAGTCACATTGCAACTGACGGTCAGTCAGTCAGTCAGTCTTGGTGTCGAGTCCAATCTGGGGCTTATGACCAGATACATATTTATTACTATTAGACAGCTTCAGTCTTGTTTTTGTGGTGCGCCCTCTCTGACGAGAAGACGGGTCTGTCTTTTGTCGGAGTCACGGACTCAATAGAAAGCCACTCACGTGACAACCATTTCGCCAGGTCATTGGCGCGCTGACTTTTGCCTAGCAACGAGCTATAAACATCCGTCCTATTGTTGAGCGCGCTTACGCGACGAGATGTCTATCGCGCCGTTGCCTGACTATACACGTTACAGTATTTACAATGAAATCAGACCTCACTTCATTCCATTATTTATGTCTTCGAATGACGCTCAATAATTTGGCTGTTATCTGTCTTAAAATAGCTTTGGAGATTTGCTAAATTATGTTACTACACTCTTTCTTAAATCACATTAATCGTGGATAGTTTGACATATAACAACACGTACACAAGATAAGATAACACATATATGGAGATGTATTACGAATTTCGAAAGAAATTCTGCCAAACCTGACAGATAAATTTCTCAATAGACTACAGATAGCAGTACCACATAGTCCACGTACGATTCTACGTTTGTCACTAGACAATGTCAGTAGTGAGATTATATAGCATCGGCGATAGGACGGCTAATGGATATGTAACAGATGTATTTTTTTATTTCGTCAAATTATTATCACAGTTTAAATGTAGCTCCCCGTCTAAAAGCATTCATGTTTCTAGGGTTAGGTTATCTGAGGAAGTTCGGTCTTTATACAGTTTCCCGTTCGTATATAAGTTGACCTTGAGTTGGAATAGATGAAGATGGAACTGCCATTCAAATTCAAATTCAAAACACAGAAATAAAATCTGCAAGGGTAAGACTCGAAGAGATGACGAGGTGCAGAAATACTAGAAGCAAATTTGAGAGATCAGGTCAAATTTGGCGAGTTATAGGTAAAGACATGTAAGAGCCCTGCAACATTCAGGATTATAGAGAAGATGTTGATAAATAGTGT